AAATAACCTTAAGAGACTTGCATGGACATAACACAAGAAACGGTTACTTAACTGGAATTCCAAACCAAAAAGCGGAATGAGGAAAAATAACAACTTACAATACGTACATTCGTGACTAATCAACTCTTCAGAATTAAGGAAACCTATGCCTTGCAAAATTTTTAAACGGGACCTAAAAAAGCTTAAAGAGCAAAATATTGTAGTTTGTAAATTTTCATTTTGTTCTGTTATTCATTACCCTTTGTTTTTTTGATAGTTAAATCATTTAGTCTGATTGTATTTTTATTATTGTTTTTGCCTCTTTTAGTCGTCTATCCTTTTTAGCCTTTTCACTTTACAACCCCTAGTTTTTTATTTCAATTCGAGAGGGAGAATAGCTCCTTCAGATTTTCTTAAAACACCCTAAATAAAATAAAAAGAGGTGAACTCGACCAATTTGCATCAAATCAGCTCTTTACACAGGCACTGGAAAAACCAGGCAAAAGGCAGTGCAAAACATCTTCAAATTCAAGCTGAAGGCCGCCGAGCATAGAAAGAAGAAACAGTGTCATCTTAAAGACTTTCAAGAAAACATAACGTTTTCACAGGCAGTTAATTTAAGATCATCTAACACTGAATAAATTAAAGTCTAGGATTTTAGCTTACATTAGCTTAAAGGAATGACAAACAACAGTCATAAAGAGGAGTTTACATTCATTCAGTGATTCATTGCACGGTCGGATAGGATAAAAAATGGCAATGGCTATATACGTTTTGGTGAAATTACATAACTTGTACTTTTAAGATTACCTTATTTTCTGCCCCAGCAAGAACGAAAATACATTGAGGTGCACTTTAAGCTTATCTCCTTTAAGTGAAATTAAATTTGCTGCATGACAAGTGACGTGTGGTATGGTAAAAAAAGCTGATGCAATCACGAAGAGGTTATTGATTAAACAAACAAAACTACAACTAACGTACCTCTGTATAAGCGTCCTGACACTGAATAAATTTTAAGCCCGGGATTTAAGCTTACATAAACTCATAGGAATGACAAGCAACAGTCACAAGAGGAGTTTACATTTATTGCAGTGATTCATTGCATGGTCGGATAGGACAGAAAAAAATGGCAATGGTTATACTTTTCGATGAAATTACATAACTTGCACATTTAAGATTACCTTATTTTCCGCACCAGAAAGAACGAAAATACATCGAAGAGCACCTTAAGCTTACTCTATCTCGTTCAAGTGACTAAATTAAATTTCAATGCTGCGTGATAACAAGTGACGTGTGGTTGATCAAAAAAACTAATGTAATCACGCAGAGGTTATTGATTTTGTAACAAAACTAAAGTTGAAAACAACAACTAACGCACCTCTGTGTAAGCTGTTTTAAAATAATGTTTTTGTAAAAGCCAAAACACCTTCCATCTAATACATATTCACAGTAAGCTAACCTCGGCAAAAATTAAGCTCAAATTTGAAGATAGTCATTTACCTTCCCCTTCCTGTTCACCCTCGTTTGTACGATGCCTGATTTCCTTTGCTGCCTCTTGCTCCATTCTTCGCTGCTCGTCGCTAATTCGGCGTCTATTTTCTCTTGCTCTCTCTCGTTAATTCTCCAGTTGCTCTTCAGTGAAATTGTGTCGCCTTTCCCTTGTTCTTTCTTGCTCTTTTGCCCATTCCTTGTCAGTAAAATTTTGCCTCCATTCTCTGATTCTTTCTTGCTCTCTCTCCTGTTGCACGCCAGTAACATTGCACCTCCATTCTCTGATTCTTTCTCGCTCTCCCTCCTGTTGCACGTCAGTAAAATTGCGCCTACATTCTCGGATTCCTTCTTGCTCCCTCTCCCATGGCTCGTCTGTAAAATTGCTCCTTCTTTCTCTGTTTCTTTCTTGCTCTGTTTTCCGCTGCTCGTCAGTTCAGTTTCGCCTCCTTTCTGTGGCTCTCTCCCGCTCTCTCTCTCGTTGAGTTTGGCTTGCTTGCCGCCTACTTTCCCGTTTACTCTTCCTCTCTCTTTCTCTATACTCCAAACTAGAGGAGACGATGAATGAAAATTCTAGAAAATACGAATGTAAAAAAAATTTCTGTCAACCTATACGAAAAAAATAATTTCTTTTTGTTCTGAGTTGCCTTGGCTGAACTTCTAAGTTGTTTATGCTTAACAAAACGCGGCGACCATTCTTTTTCGCGTCAAAAAAACAACCTCGTTCCCTGGATCCAAAACTCCCACTGCAATCACAGACTACCCCAACTTTTTCATTGGTATGCCTGTGGTGCGGACGGACGGTTGTTCGTTCGGTGTACGGTCACGTGAGTACCAAATTTTCTGGGATGGGTAGATTTACTTGCCCATGGTGCTCTGCTATAAATAAGTAACTGTACAAAACTGGCATGATACTTTTTATCTTTCAGGTTTGATGGCAGGGTCATTGTTTTCCCTTACGTCAACAGTTTTTCAGACTTTGACACCACTTCGTGGAGAACGGGACCAAGACCTGAATGAGCTTTGGGCTCTTGTTGCCAGTAATAAGGTACGCTCATAGTAGGGCCATTTATAAGGGAAAAATAAAACGCATCCCACATAAGACACAAACTGTCCCATGTAAACGACACATTAAGACGCGTTTTATCGAGGAATAATGTTGTTCCTAGATAAGACGCATCTTAGCTATGTTTCAACAAAACGTGTTATTTGTATGGTGCAGTTTGCGTCTTATGTAAAATGCACCTTGGTTTTCCTCTCATAAAGGGCAATGCAACCCTAGACATCATGCTACCAGGCTATTTCAGTCGCATGCCTTCAACAGGAGCGAATAAGCTTCATTTGGTTTTGTACACAGAGATTGGAACTTGTCCTGGGGACTATTTCTGATTGACAATTTGCATTGGAGGGCTTACTGGCTGTATGGGCGATCAAACATTCTGAATTATGGAAAGCCGGGAAGGAGAACGGGCTTGCACAGAGAATTTTAGATGTGCCCAAGGTTATCATGCCTAGAGGATACGAGAGGTGGTACCGGGGAATGGCGGCAGCATTTTTCACATGTGCTTTGGTAAACTATCAGTTGACCCAATACTATACCACTACAACCACTGCTGCTGCTGCTGGTGGTGCATACTGCGGCTAGTACTACTACTACTACTGCCACTGCCACTGCTACTACTACTGCTGCTATTACTACTACTCCTACTACTACAACAACTACCACTACCACTACTATTACTACTAGTACTAGATTAACAAGATACTACAAGATAAACCAGACGATCGATGAACACTGCCTGTGGAGATTCACTTGCGAATTTCGAAGGGCTCACCAGGCGTTGAGTGGGCAGCATTCAGAGCCTGAATGCCAGAAAACACCAATAAAGGATAGACTAGAAGAAGCTATCACTCAAGAAATTGTCCGCACTCATGATGATAAACAAAAAGTATGTTTTTCCAAGTTTGTAATGTTTTCAAGGTCAATGGAGACCTTTAGAGTCTAACGGGGCGAGAATGACTAAGAGTACGAGATTTTCTCAATACTGGGTCAGTATTGCTCCCACATAAACCATTGAACTTTTGGTTGGAAAAAATGACAGCCGTTGTCATCCTACTATGAGTTTAGCGAGAATGTCGTAGTGGCGGAAACAAGTTAACAAAAGTCGCAAGTTTTTAAATCATTTTGCTATCGAAGAGGGCTTTAATTTACCTCCTTTATATAATTAATAAAGATAACAGTGATAACTTTTCTGTTGAATCTAAAGTACAATGAAGCTTTATGGGGTATCTATTTTTCGAGAATACGCAAAAAAACTTCCAGTCAAATCGCGTACTTGTAGTCGTTATCGAATCTAAAGCTCTCTAATGTGATCCTTTCAAAAATTTTTCGAAACTGTATTATATGTATGCTACACTGAAGTATCGTCTAATGAACATCTCTAAACGGCTCCTTTTTTGTTTGTCCCACGGTGCACTGGTCCCGCTGGGCAGTCCATATGGTCACTCTTGTTTAGTTGCAACCTCTCTAGATCGGCCAGCTCTTCCGCAACAGCAAAGGCCATCAAAGCTTGCCCATTAGTATTGCCAAGATATTAGGGACATTTGACACAGGTGTTTGAAAGACGCGATCAGGCCCCAGTAGTTCAAAAGCTGGATAGCACTATCAATTTTAATTGGATAAATCAGTATCCAGTGGATAAGTATTAGAGAAAACCAATTGCACTATCCACTGGTTAGAGACTTATCTGCTTGATAGCGTTATCCACCTTTTGAACAACTGGGGCCAAAAGGATAGGCTAAGCCTAATGCCGTAGAAAATGTAAGCCTTCACTAACTTATAATTCTTGCAATTTTTGTCAGGTCATCGCAAATCCTCTGTCCTGTGATAAACATATGTTATTTTATCTCAGATATCATCGTGGCTTAACAATAACGTCCAAGCAGCTGTAGCCATTAAAGCTTCTATGATTTTGAAATGGCAGAATGTTTCCAGTAAGGTAAATTATATTACTCTAGATAAGAGCTGCAGGCTAAAATATTCTTAATGAGTCATCGATTCAGTGTAACGAGGTCCGTGGGGCTTGTGTAGTTAAATGCCAAAAAATAGCACACTTGACGGGAGCAATATTCGGAAATACGTATTTTATCAATCTGGCAGGCTACTTTTCTGAGAATATTCATTTTACCCAGAAGTTTAATTCATGTGAGCTCGTAAAATAAACCCCTAGTTAACCTCATTTATTTGAAAATGACCTCCTGAAACCCAGGCCCAAAACCACGCAAGATTTTGAAAATGACCCCTTCCCCCTTCCCCTCCTCAAAGGTGATAAAAGACCTTCCTCTTGAATCGTTTTCTATAGTAGATAGTCTGTATATGCTTGTTTGAGTAGGGGGTTGGATCGGGGGTGACTGTACACAGGCTTATAATAAAGAAAGAAATAAGTCAGCAGCAATCAAACTTACCATAGTGATAGTTAAGTACAACAATTGACTTGTCTTCACACTGGAAGTTCAATCCTTTTGTAAGGAGTATGGCTGTAACATCAACCAGCCATTCCTGTTTTATGTGGAAGGTGAAGAGGGACGAAGGACACAGAGGTGTTTCAAGATTGCTTGCAAGGAGTTAACATGCAGGACCTTGCATTTTATTGATCACGGTGAGGCTGGTTAGATAAAGAAATAGTCTTCTACTATTTCTTTTATTTCAAATGTGTAAAGAGACATGTAACCCCATCAAATGACGAAAATTGTCTTGGTCTTAAGATTATAGGTGTTATAGAATCATCTCACCTGGACTCTTTAGTGACTCTTTAGTGACTGGTTGACTGCTAAAAAATGTGGGGAAAACATAACATTTCAAACAACAACAAAAAAACAACCGCTGTCTTATCACTAGAATACTAAGTTGAAAGACGCTTACTATTCCGGATTGTTCACATTTATATGGGACTGTTGCTAAATAGGAAGCAGAAATTTAATTAATGTCCCGCTAAACTTTGAATGAGAGGTATCATTGTATTTACAATTTACAATTTGCACAAAGGCCTTTTTTAAAGAAAAAAATATTAGTAGAAGAACCGCCAGTACTAACAAATCTCTATTTTCAACTACAAGAGGCAGGAGAAGAAGAAGGAAAAGAAGAAGAAGAGGAGGGGGACGAGAAAGTTGTAAAATCCCACATCCAATCCACAGAGGACGAAATAAGTAAATTATGTCAAGGTATGTTACTCATCTTATATTATTGCGCGCTCTATATAATGGAACGTTTTTCTTAATCAAACATCTCCTTTGATTCTTTTATGAACAAAGCATAATGCATGCCTGATGATGAACGTTTAGTTTGTCTAGGAAGAAAATTGTATTTGATTAAAAAAGAAAAACGTAGGCCGCATTTATAAGAGTGACGTTTGTGGTTTTAATTTTAACTTCAGATTTCAAAGTTGAGGAAATGTTCTCTCCTGTGGAAACGTCAAATCCGACCAAACCAGGAAGAAATGAAGGTGAGATACAGGTAGTTACAGTAATTTTATTATGTTAAAAATTTGACTTTGGGTTCCGTCCTGTTATCCTTAGTTTCGTTCCTTTAGCTTCACTCATGCCCGTCCTTTCTTTTGCAGATGACGCCAACAACAAAGAAGAACTACATGGAGATGACCCCTGGCAAATGGAAAGCTTTCCAAATGGTTAGTGAAACTTTGATGTGGTAAAGGGGGATTATCGAAGTCCTTTCATAATTCCCAAAAATAACAGTCACAATGAGAATCATGCTCACGTCGAAAGAAGTCTTTATATCTCATTAATTTTCTGAGTTAACCCTGAGTCATGGAAATACTTTATACCACCGTCATTAAGGGTGGGAAGAGAGTATTGCACCATGCGTGTGTGAGTAGAGACCTTGCAATTAACTTTCTGTTTATTTTCCTTTCCCCACAAGGGTTATTCCTATGCATTGAAGCAATCCGTCATAGCCAAGGGGAATGATTGCTCAAATGTTAGTGGGTTCAGGTGAGTACAGCATGAGTGCATACAGCCATGAAACATTTTTCTAGTTGACATAAGGGTGCTTTTACATACACTGCTTACGGGTGAAATAAGGTGTTTGTCGATGTTACTTTAATAATGTAGGGGTACAGATTTTGAGAGAGTCAAGGTACCCACCACCGAAAAAAATAGAATAAACTGAATAAATATTCATGATAACGAAGAGAAGCACACATAATAAAGCAGACTGAGCAAAAATGTACCCTAACAATAAGACAGATTTTTTTAAAATATAGTTCTAATTTAACATGCAATCTCGTTGGTTGAATAAGCTTGTTATGTACTCATCTAGAGTATATAAAACACGGAGGAAAAGATGTAATGCTATTTACCCAGTGTTTTTATTTGTTTGGAACATTTGAAAGTAACAAACGTGGAATTTCAACTTTCAACTTCAACTTTATTTAAATTTGGAAATATAGCAAAAGATACATTGGGACTGGCCTGCAGTTAGCAAGGCTATTCGAGGCAGGCCAGGCTACATAATTTACAACAAACTAGACAAATACAAAGAAATTAGTCGTTATTTAAGAATATATATTTTACATTAGATAGATACTATTCTACTTCAATGCAAGGACAATATTAAAGTGAAATTTTAAAAATAAAATAAAATGAAAATAAAGGACAAGAGAATTACTTTTTCATTTTCACTATGATCGTATCCACATAAATATAGGAGTCTTCAGTTTCAAGGAAATCGAGTAGCATTTCTTTTAGTGATCTTTTAAAAGCCTTTTCCGGTCTTTCTTTAAGAATTGGAGGTATCCCATTCCAAATTTTGACCCCAACACGCGAAAAAGCATTTTGTTTGACATTGAGCCGAGATTCTTTAGTATAAAAATGTTCAGAGGTTGAGGTAAGTGTTGTAAGTATGAACACTAGAAATTCGAGAGAAGAGTTTCTAAATATTATCCGGAGCAGTGTTTATATTTACATCATACATAAGACTACAAAGGGATTCATAATATAGAGACTGTAAAGGTAGAATTTTTGCATCGACAAAAAAAGGTATTGCGTGGTCATTTGTTTCAGCAAAATATATTAAACGCAGTGTGCGTTTTTGAAGGACAAGAATTCGGTCAAGGAAAGTTTTACACGCGTTGCCCCAAGAGATAAGACCGTAAGTTAGATAAGGTGTAATTAGTGACTGATAAATATTTAAGAGAATTTAACTGATTCTTTATATTAAAACAAATAAAAAGGCCTTGGCCAGGCTCTATTCTGACATAAAGCATTTTGGAAGCAGCGGTAGAGTGCTCGAGAAGAAGCTGGGGAGAAAAACTTGTGTCATGTACGTGTCGAGATTTCCCCTTCACTTCTTGAATGCTCTAGCCACTTCCTGCTTCAGGCGTGCTTTAACAGTTTTCTGTAATTTCTTTATAACTTTCTTAATACGGCAGATACAGAGACATCCGATAATGATTCAGATTCCGAGGAGGAAACCAGAAGTGAACGAGGTAATTTCAATCGAAGCGAAAATGATGAAAGGCTTTAATTTATGAATATGTGTGTAATTTGTATTATGTTTTAAGCATGGTATATTCCTCCCTGCTTGAAAGAAATAATTAATTGGTATATATGTTGAAACATACGAAAAGTAAAATTTTTTTTTTCTGCCAAGAAATGCGCATATCTTTCCTTTTAATGAGTATATCACCGCAGTTTGCATTTTGTTTCTTCTTAAGCTAAGATGGCAAAAAGGTACCTACGATTTGGTTATCCAGGCACGGGGAATAATAAATCAATTTCCGGCTTTTTCTATCTAACTTTCCCAATAAACAGCAGATAAACAGCCTTCTGAGTGTTCTAAAGCAGACGATTGTCAGGAGTTGTCTCAAGCAAGTGATGGTAAGTTTATGCAAAGCAAAAACGTATGAAAGGTGTTTACTGGCTAAAGTGGGTTTTAAAGTCAGAAAACTGTTCAGAATAATTCTATTATTTTGTAACTACAGTAGTGGATCAAGACATAATTAACGAATTATGCTAAATAGAAGAGAAAGCAGTGATTACATAATATGCTCAAACAGATTTTATTCTGATCAGGCACCCCATCCTTTTTTTTAATTTTGGCCATACCTTTTGTCTTTACCTAAACTGAAAACCAGCCATATCAGAAGGCGTTGTTGGATAATCAATTTTTTCTTTGAATAAGTAGCAGAAAAAATTTAATGTGCAAGTAACCTTTCCTTCAAAATCTTAACCTATCTACAAACTATGTTTATACATTGATATGCTGCTATGATCCACTTCAGGCATTGAATATAACTCTCACATCACCGGGGCCATTGGGGTGACCCAAAGGGTACCCAAAGGTACGTTTATGTTATTTTTTCTATATCTCTTTGAATCTCTATCAGCAAGGAGCTGTATAATTAATTCTACTGTGAGCCGAAGTTAAAAAAATAAATTATTGATATACAATTTCCATACCAAGTTATTTTGTTATTCCCAAATCGTTTGCATTTTGAATTTACATTGTTAGGAAAAGAGTCAGCAACAGACATGTGTGTCTTGTGCCATGAAAAGACCCCGCCGGGGAAGAAAACCCCAATGATCGACTGGGTGGAGCGTTCGTTGTGTCTCAAATGGTATCACTAGTAAGTAAATAAATATGTCAATCCAAGAATGCAATATTAAATTAAACAGTGATGAACACAATACACTACTACTACTAATACTACTACTGAATAAGTTAGTTCTGAAATTAATCTGTTCATGTCACAATGTACGCGACACACTACTCTTGGTAAGTAAAATATAACCTAATATTACCTGTATTGAATTAGAGTATACTCTTTGCTTTGCTTGGTAATTTATAATTTTAGAAATCAACATTAGCTTTTGTAATACTGTAAGATGTTACGCTCATTTTGATAAACAATCTACCACTAATACTACAATATTACTCCTACTAAATCACATCCCAACGCATAGTATATTTCTCCTTTGAAAGCGTGTATTTGACAATTTACTCACGCGATCAACATATGTTTTTTGGCTTATTCTTTTTCTTTAGCCGAAGTGCAGGGGTGAAAACTAAGCCACTTGGGGACTGGTGGTTGCAACGACTGCACAATTGGCAAAATGTCCGATTGTCATAGATCAGAAGAAGTTAGAACAATTTCCCTACTGTTCACATGAGCGAACTAAAAGTGTGGAAAAGAAATAAAATCAAGATGTATTAATTCTATTTGCATGTATCTTGCCCCTCACCTACCACATTTAAAATGACAATACGGTAATTAGTCGGAGACGGAGTGAAGGGGTTAAAGGGCGGCAGCGCTCAGTTAATAAACAAGACGCTATTGGAGTGTGCATTTAGCCACCACGGTATCACGCGTATGTGAGGTTTCTTTGTGGCAGACACGCGAGTCTGTCCCAATGATTTTAATAGCTCATATTCTATACATTAAAATTCGAACATGACTCCAAGGCTTTCTGGTCGTTTTTTACAATTTTGTTTAGTTTTCTTTGTGCTAAAGACTCTTCTGGGAATTGCGAGACAATGGAGTAAAGAAAAATTTGCAACTTTGACCCTAAAACCTCGCAGTCATGTTGGAATATTTCGAACGCAGGCTATTGTTAAGGGTTGATTGAAATGGGTGAAAATGGAGGTGTCGACCTTTAGTGGACATTGCTTAGTATGTAAATAGCTGGAATTTTTCTCGGGAATTCCTGACGTAAAATGCTGCCAACGTGCAAAACTACCAGGAAATGTCATGGACCGGTAGCAACTTCCCTATTACAAGTTGTAAGCGAACGTACAAGTGATCTCTCACTTTCTTTCCTTGGACCTTTCTCTTGCCTCTCCTTCTTGCGAGCCACTCACGCATTACTTCTCTCCATATCCTTGCTGCATCAGCCAAATCCAATGCATGCATTTCTTACCCCAGGAGTTTGCCATCCAAAGCCCAAGAAATGCTAATGCCCGCGGATTGGCGCGGGGGTCTGGGTGCATTTAGATTTGACTAATGCATTAAATGAAGAGCTTGCTCGAAGGCATGCACATTTTGTCGCGTGTACATTTTGTCGGACAACCTTTCTCGAAATAGCTGTATACCCTAAAAGCATATGTCAAGTGTAGAAATTGCCTTTGGTTCTTGACATTTGGGCAACAGGGCAGCAAGGGCAATATGAGCAGCAAGGCAACAGGGCAACAAGGCAGCAGGGCACCTACAATCGGCGACAAAATGAGTTGAGACACTTTCCCAAAACTGGGCTTTTTTACGTTTTATTAACTTCAAAAGGAGGAAATATAGCTTTCCTCCCCCATCCCCTTGGTGCAATGTTGTGCCCTTGTTCTAGCTGCCTATAGAAAACAACAAACACCCCAACTTTGAATGGAGGGGACAGGGGAGGGGTGCGGATTCTTTTGTTCTCCGAAATTATCCTATTTAAGAACAATGTCTCAACAATTTTGTCGCCAACTGTCTGAATCTCAAAAGTAGTCGTACGTCCTTTCAAAAGGTAATTGAATTCATTTCTTTATGCTGGGATGTAAGACCCCTCATGGCTTTTTATTCGTTGTGTTCGACTTCATCATACCTATTTTAGAACAATTAGAATAAGGTGATTTCATTGTTTTCAGTGCGTGACATTTTGTGTCACGCTTAACCGTGCCTTGACATCGTGCAATGTGGCACGTCGCGCACGATTTCTTAATCTCTTCTTTATCGAAACGCATCGAAACAAAGAACAAAGTGAAAAGGATAGAAAACTTAATCACACTTAGTTTCCAGAGGAAAATCAATCATTCGGTACGCAGGTATGCTGCGTAATTACTTGAAAACACTACCGAGTACAAAGATTGTTAAAACTAATTTTCCCTCGAAAAACACAGGAAAGGGATTATATGGGTATCTTATCTATCTTCTGAAAAACGACGCAGTGAATATAGTAATCTCAACTAGTTACTGTCTCCTAACCGGTGCTAATAAGACAACAATGCATAGATTTCGATTCAGACAATCGGCGACAAAATGAGTTGAGACACTTTCCCAAAACTGGGCTTTTTTACGTTTTATTACCTCCAAAAGGAGGAAATATAGCTTTCCTCCCCCATCCCCTCCGTGCAATGTTGTACCCTTTTTCTAGCTGCCTATAGAAAACAACAAACACCCCAACTTTGAATGGAGGGGACAGCGGAGGGGTGCGGATTCTTTTGTTCTCCGAAATTATCCTATTTAAGAACAATGTCTCAACAATTTTGTCGCCAACTGTCTGAATCTCAAAAGTAGTCGTACGTCCTTTCAAAAGGTAATTGAATTCATTTCTTTATGCTGGGATGTAAGACCCCTCATGGCTTTTTATTCGTTGTGTTCGACTTCATCATACCTATTTTAGAACAATTAGAATAAGGTGATTTCATTGTTTTCAGTGCGTGACATTTTGTGTCACGCTTAACCGTGCCTTGACATCGTGCAATGTGGCACGTCGCGCACAATTTCTTAATCTCTTCTTTATCGAAACGCATCGAAACAAAGAACAAAGTGAAAAGGATAGAAAACTTAATCACACTTAGTTTCCAGAGGAAAATCAATCATTCGGTACGCAGGTATGCTGCGTAATTACTTGAAAACGCTACCGAGTACAAAGATTGTTAAAACTAATTTTCCCTCGAAAAACACAGGAAAGGGATTATATGGGTATCTTATCTATCTTCTGAAAAACGACGCAGCGAATATAGTAATCTCAACTAGTTACTGTCTCCTAACCGGTGCTAATAAGACAACAATGCATAGATTTCGATTCAGACAATCGGCGACAAAATGAGTTGAGACACTTTCCCAAAACTGGGCTTTTTTACGTTTTATTACCTCCAAAAGGAGGAAATATAGCTTTCCTCCCCCATCCCCTCCGTGCAATGTTGTACCCTTTTTCTAGCTGCCTATAGAAAACAACAAACACCCCAACTTTGAATGGAGGGGACAGCGGAGGGGTGCGGATTCTTTTGTTCTCCAAAATTATCCTATTTAAGAACAATGTCTCAACAGTTTTGTCGCGGATTGTAGGCAGCAGGGCACCCAGAGCAACAAGGCAACAGAGCAACAAGGCAACAGAGCAACAAGGCAACAAGGGCAACAAGGCAACAAGGGCAACAAGGGCAACAAAGCAACCAGGGCAACCATGGCAACAGGGCAACCATGGCAAACAGGGCAACAGGGTAACCAGAGCAACAAGGGCAACAAGGGCAAGATGTCTTTTGGTTTTATCCCAGCTGTTTAAGCTGCAAATCATAACAACTCCTATAATCGTTCTCCTAACGAAAATCCTGCCTCGTACCCAGATGCTCCACGTCTGTGATCGTAGTGTTCGCATGGCAATTGCTGGTTTTGTATGAATGCCAATTCTTCTTGAGTAAACCCCTTATTCAAATCAGCTATCATTTTGGGTGCCACCTCACCACTTGGGCCGGGATAACTTGTTTATTAACATCTCTCAATTTACTGATTTCCTCAATTTCCTTATCAAACTATTCTGTTATAGGTTTTAGATCTTTAGCCACCTTTTCATATAAATCTTGATCTCTAGTTTCAACTTCTTTTATAACATCCCTAACAACTTCAGTCATTTTTCCTGCTTCAATTTTAGGAATACTGAGTCTCTTAAATCTTTCTATATCCATTATACTATTGTGTTATATAAAACTTATCTGAACTTATCTCAATTTATCTAACATAATATTATATGGAGATTCCAAATTATGATTTCAATGAAGATGAAAATACAAACTTTAACCAGCTGTACAAGTATATGCCCAAGTCCAATTTTAGAATGCTAATATGTGGCAATTCAGGGTCAGGCAAAACAAATCTACTTTACCACATCCTTATGAAACCATTAGCCTATTATGATCAGATCCATTTATAAGGCAAAAATCAGGAACAGGAAAAGTATCGACACATGATAGAAACAATGAATGACATTAGTAGCCAGGTTGGATATGACATAATGCACTGCAATAATGACGACATTAAACCTGTCAATAGTCTGGAAAGTGATGCCCAGAAAATTGTAATATTTGACGACTTCATTTGTGATAAAAATCAAAAGCCGCTCATCGATTATTTTATTCAAGGCCGTCATAAGAACTGCAGTGTTATTTACCTGTCACAATCATTTTATAAAACTCCAAAAGATATCAGACTAAACTGCAGCCATTATGTTGTTTATGATTTCCCTAGCAGTAATGAGCGAAATATGATTTCTACAGAGTTGAATGTAACAAAGGATCAGTATATTAAAGCTACCAAACAACCCTACCCATTCCTATATGTGGATAAACCAATGAAGACTGTCAAAAGAGACTTTTATGGAAATATATAATATAATATTCTAAGATGGGAATATTTAATCAGCAACCTAATTATAATCAGTCATACTCAAAAGGAAAATGCGGTATTACTGGCCCTCAAGGACCTCCTGGCCCACCTGGCCCTGCTGGTGCTCAGGGTAACCAAGGTCCAAAAGGCGATCAGGGTATTCAAGGAACCGGTTTTAGTCTCACATCAAGGGGGGATTATAATATGTTAGGTACACAAATAAAAGGTATGACTGAAGGGACTTCTTTCACTGACGCTGTAAGAAAAAGTCAACTTGATATTTAACTATCACGTTCTGGTGGAATAATGACCGGCAATTTGGATATGAATAGCAAAAGGATATACAATGTAGCACAACGAAATGGAGATAATCAACCAGCTACAAAGATATTGTCAGAAAATAAATTCCTGGATAAGTCCAGTGGAGTAATGGCTGGACCACTAAATATGTCCAATAATAAAATCACTAATCTTGCCAAACCAACTGATGATAAAGATGGGGTTAACAAAAAATATATATATGACAATTATTTGAAACTATCCGGTGGCACTATGACTGGCCATATAATATTAAATAACAAAATCCTTACTTCACAATATCAAGCAATAAACCAGAACACTGGAAATGCATTTTTTGTACAAATTACTAATCCGTATGTTTACCACCAATTTAATATGGTCAAAAACAAGATTATTAATCTTGGAGACCCGACTGATCCTACTGACGCTGTTGATAAACAGTACTTAGAAAAATCACATGTTAAACCCAGCCATTACAATAATGAATTCAAATATTTTGTGACTAATAGATTAGCATGGACTGATCTCGAACCGAATAACATCAATAGTTTTGACATGGCTAAAATTGATAATTTAATGCCCCAAGATGGTAACTACCATCAATACAACCACAAAGTTCTATATACAACATTATAAAAGATAAGCAAGGAGGATACTCTTATAAAATGGGAATCAATTGTTATCAACTTGATAAACATAAAGACTATACTCTGTGTATTGAAATCCTCAATTCAGATTACCAATTATGGCATAAATCAGTTGCTACAATTGATAAAACCACATCAAAGGGGGTATCAGTTGCTGGTTTTACAGTACAAAAGTTTTCTCACCGATACACAAATAGTGGTGGAAACACTGCATATATGTATTATATCAAAATAATTGTAAACTTTCAAAAAACTGTATCAGGTACATTTTACAGTCTGGATCTTTATGTTGATATACCCCAGGTGGGTATTGATCTCAACACCTACCCAAAAAATTGGACAAATAAGTGGATGATTGCTTATGGTGTTTTCGGAAAAGTATCATCAATTGATCCCCAAAAGACATATGATTATCATACAGCATTTGATATTAAGCCGACTGAAGTTGTTTACAATGTTAATCTGGATATGAACAGAGAGAAAATATTAAACATTACGCCAGATAAAACGAAGAATAATTCGGCTGCTACTGTGAAGATGGTCAAACATTTGGAGAGGAAATTGAGCCCTCATGCAACAAATAATGCGTACAGGGAAATATTTGAGGAATTTTATGATTTAAGCGATGCTAGTAACTATAAAATAACAATAGGAGTATCAGGTATCATGGTTTCAGGCATCCTACCTAATATTTATTTCCCTAGAATGGATATTGCTAATATTTGGGAGGGAGGATTGAGAATAACTAATACCACATTAAGTTTGGAATTATTCAGTAAAAGGAGCTTTACTCTTTGTGTTGTTATGCAGCTGTGGCTGAACAGATCATTTAGTATTAAAACATTGATGAGTAATGGAGTTTATGAAAAACCAGATTTGATTTATGACAAAACAACAAAGATATTAAAACTGCAAACTAATGGTCATGGGTCAACTAACGAAACTTCTATCACATTACTAAACAGTTTCAATGGTAAACGTGTTATGTTTTGGTTGACTAAGAAAGGTACAGGGGGTGACGTAACAGCAAAAGCATCAATCAGTAATCATAGTGCAACATTAACACTATGTTCAACTTTAATATCTCAAAGTACCTACACATTCAGAATATTCTCAGAAGATACAGTGATCTATAGAGTAATGTACACTCCAAACTTTCATGAATTCGATTCTATCGAATTTCATAGAATAATGTTGCAGGAAAAATTAAACGGTTCTTATGTTCTGTAATTTGTCTAAACTAATAATATAAATGGGTATATTCAATTTCAACCACATTGATAAAAACAAAACAAAAGAAGAAATACAGGAAATCAAAGAGCTATATAAATTCTATCATTATAGATACTGGTGTTATCAAAAAGCTTATACACAGTACAAAAAAATCAATCTGGCTTCTAATATTGTATCGGCCGGTTTAGTCATTATTGGTAGCGTAGCTGGTGGCATCACAGCCAACCCCATTATTATAGGTACTGTAACAGGCGCCGGTGTATTACTCAAAACATTTTGTGAAACTAAGAACTACAAATGTAAAATAGAAATGAGTAAATATGCATATACAACATAATCAGAAAATATTAGCCGATCTCAAAACGTCGCTTCAAGGCGGTCCCTTTAATAAACAGGACTTTTTGAAAGAGGTTAATGTTCTTGATGATACAGTTATAGATTTCTGCCCATTCGTAACAAAATTTGAAAAACAATATGGGAAAAAGTTCCTCCCCTATCCAACAGATCAATAATGCCTCCTTAAAATTATTCTATTGACGTCATCCTTAATGTAACCATAAACTTTGTCCCACCATTCATTGTAATATTTTAGCGAATTTTTTATTCGTGTATGAGGAACGGACTTGTATCCTATTCCTAAGATGTCAAATAGTTGTTTGATGATATAATTTACACTGATAAGCCGTTTTCTGCCCACATCTGGGAGTTCAATACGGTCAAATAGTTTGAATATTCTCAGGATACTCTCTCTATCATAATACTCAAGTTGGATATTTTTTGGTGCTATATCATTCAGCGTATTGATGATATGATATTTTCTATAATAGATGGACTTTCTCTTTATTCTGTATCTGTTCTCATAAAAAACAATGTATTCGTCTGCTGTTAAATAATCATGAACTTGTCCACAATTCTTACACACAAGAAGGTTATCCTTGATCAGTTTCATAGATTCACAACAAAAATATCGCCCAGGCTTACCGGGATCTTGAATTTGTTTAACACAAAAGACGCAATTAACATAATCCTCTTGGATCAATAACTCATGAACTTCATTATTACACATTATACTATACTATATTTAGATTTTTTGTCTTAAAGTATTATTTGCCTTCACTCATTAGTTAAAGTTGATTGTCAGTTCATCGACCAATTGTTGTTGCTTAGCAGTAATCTTAATCAGAGCTTCTTCTTTAGTCTGTTTTTTGTATTTAGCAATTGATCTATAACGTTTGCCATCAACTTTGATCCAAACTTCTGGCGCAGTCTTTCTCACATTTGAGTTTCTGTCTCAATTTGCGCTTGAGGTTTGTATTCAATTTTGACTGTCTGTTTTTGGACTAATTGTTTGTTGAGTAAACGGTCCCCATATTTTACACTATAATATCTGATGTATTCGGCTTCCACTCTGTTTAATTCTTGACGATCCTTACAAGGTGCACGTATTATTGGTGTGATCACTGGATTGTCACCCTTGTATTGATATATTGCACTTGATTTTGTGGTCACATGTTCATTGAGCTGTTCTTGAAGATTTCTGATAGAGCTACCAATATACAATTTATTGTTATGTTTAAATGTGATTTTATATATTTGACCATTATGGTAGTCATCATTAAAGTAGCTATTTACTGTCACGTAATGCGGCAGCATTCTGATTTTGTATTTAGGGTTCAACTTTGTTGTATCA